ATTTTCAAGCCTGGACGTTTCAGCGTTACCCTGTTCGAGGCCAAGGGGAAGAGTGCCAACCCCTACGGAATGGGTGATTTTGTCTCCAGAACTACTGCGGCCCAGCGTTTGGTTGACCCTGTCCGGGGATACCGTCGTATCGACCGCATTGTCCACGACTTCGAGGACTACGATCTCGTGTTCCGTTTCTACGAGAAGGAGGACTGGGCGGGTGATCGTGAGGCCCGCCTCGGCGAGCTGATGTAGGATGAAAACGGGATTGCGGGGGATACAGTCTCTTCCGTCTTGCTGGACAACCTATTTCCTTGACTTGCCGTAGTTCATACTCCTAGGGCCCGCTCCCAACTTTCTCTCCTTCTCCCGGGGCACTTTGCGAGTAGCAAACACCCTGCCACTTGCCATCCATCGGCCCGCGCCATATTTTGAACCGAGACAACCTTGGTCCACCACAATACATGATTTTGAGTTATCTTCAATTGCGGCATGATTCGTTGAACCAATGACAACCTGGCTAGCTTGACTGTCCTTTCCACTTAACCCCGATAGACGTAGTCCATCTCGAGGCCATCTCGATTTAACGCGGGGGACGATCGTGATTCACGATGCTAGATGAGTTTTAGGTCCTCAACATCGATCCGCCAACCTCTCTTTGGGGCTCTTGACTGAGGGGAATGTTCACGATGGTATGCTGTTCGCATCCGGCTGCATCTGGGGTCTCCAACCTCCAGCTGCTTTTCAGTCCAGCCCAATTACTCAATAGGCCAGCCCTTGTGTGGAATGCACCAGCTTGGTCTGCACTTTGGGACCTCATCCCGTCGTAGACCCTGTCCTACAAGGCCTCCGGCCCCCAAAGTTTGTCTTACATTGGAATGTTCCCAGGCCCACCCGCCACAACAGCAAGCGTTGGCCGCCATCATGATTGACCAGCAATTTTCCAGCCATCCAATGCACAGCGATATATGAACTTGCGCAAGAACAGACAGATTAATCCCCGGAAGATCAAGCGAAACCTGCATGATCAAGTCAACCCAGCTCATCCTCATACCATGGCGCCTCCTCCGAAAGACGACGCCGTGAGCGTTGTCGAGTCGCTGGACGTCAAATCGTCCGTATCTGGAAGCGATGTTTCCACAAAGTCTCCGCCGAAGCCTCTTCCCATTCTCTTGAGCATCGCCATGTTCCTCCTCTTCATTGCGTCAGGCGGCGGTTTGACCACCTCCGCTCTTCAGTTCAGGCCTTCAAGATCCGGGAAGCGGGACTGTCTCACTCAAAGCTTCATCCTGTTCGCTGTAAGTCCTCGTTCCCCGCACGCACGCTCACTGGAATGCTCGCTTACACACTTGCTAGTCCATGATCTCGCCCATGTATCTCGTGCTACATCTGCTCGTCTCCTTCCGTAACTGCCAGTTCATCAGGAGACAGTCTCTCCAGTCACCTCTGGTGTCTTGGGCCATCATTGTCTCCCGCCTGGCCCTGCTCCTCTGGATTCCGGCAATCATCTTGTCGTGTGGAGCCGTTGCACACTTCCCAGGGTTTCTCGCGGAGAGCCCCATCACGGAGCTCAACCTGGCAGTGTCCATCGTTGGGATGTAAGTGTTGCCTGAACCTCGAAGATGCATACCATAGTCTAACCTCCCCCCAGCGCCAGTGCCATAGTGGTTGTCCTTGTTCTGGAGATTGCGGCACATCCCTTCGAGCTCCCCTGCTTCAAGCGGGCCACAACCGTCATCCTCGTCGAAGACGCAGACAAGGAAGCCAAGCCGGAGGAGGAGCCAAAGCCACCCAGCCGACCCCCGAGCCGACAGCAAACTCCGCCTGCATACTACTACTTCCCCGCCAGCTACAGACACACCATCCCGGCGCCCGCACGCGCGAAACTCGTCCGCAAGGCCAGCTACCCCAAGCACCTCATGGCCCAGAACGTGCCGCCCGTACCCGCCATGCCGTACCCGCACCCGGATTCGCTCGGCATCATGCTTCCCATCCCGGAGCCGCTTCCCCCACTGCCGGAGCTCGAACAGACTAACCCGAAACCTAAGATCAAAATAACACCGGCCCCTCCCGACATCCTGATTCCGGGAAAAGGCCTCCCGGCGGACAAGAATAAGCCTTGCCCACCTCCGCCGGGAACTGCTTGGGCTAGGGATTGGGAACAGCTGGCGGTGGACGCCGGTGTCAGGCGGAACGGGTCTGTTAGCGACTATGGGTCCTCCGCCGGGACGGAGACTACGGATGGGCGGTCGGAGGTGGGCGGGAGCGCGTTGAAGCCGCCTCTGCCGTCCATCATTGTCACACACAGTCCTGAACCGGTTTGAGAATGGTAAGTACGTTATCGTGTGAATTATGGATGATGATGAGGTTACGGGTAACGAGGGATGAAGCGTGTTTCTTGATTTCACCATTCGATCACCGTGTATTATTTCTTTTGTTCATCCCTTTTTTATAGTCGCTACATCATGTCTGTCTAGTCTCAGTGAACAATCAAGTAATTTGGTTTCATTACGATGTTTCTAGGACCCGCCCAAGCCATCGACACGTTTTCTCGCCCTGTCGAATTCCTCCATGTGGCTTGGTCTCGTATCTCGCATCGGCTGAGATGGTGCCCCGTTGTCTTGGGCATCAGCAAGCCACTTTTCTTGGCGTGGTGTTTCGTATTGCACCTTGTTTCCGCGCAATTTAGGATCTGCAGCTGAAATTCGCCGGTGGCCAAGGGATCTTGTGTGAAGTTGCCCAATGCCACATTCATGTTTTTGGTAACACGCTGGCCAAAGAGAGGCTTCAATCGGCGCCACATCGTGAGTTTTAAAGTAGCTGATCTTGGCGTGGAGGATCTTGCAAAGGGCACGATTGAATAAGGGTGGCATCGCAAGATGCACTTACGTCAGATCATGCCGGGGCATTCTTACGACACGCTTTGTTAACACGCTGTTTCGATGCATATAAAAGATGAACTACGACCTCTTGACAAACACGTTATTGTATTGCATACTTTGTCGATATGTCAATTGCTCGAAAGCTGTAACCATGCGAGTAAACCAATCCCTTCTGCTGCCACTCATCGTGGTCTCCGCGCAAACGACTGTCACGATATCTTCAGGGGCCGTCCACGGCATCTCAACGAACATTGGGGACGGGGTGGCGATAGTGAACAAATTTCTCGGGATCCCGTACGCTACGATACCATCCCGATTCTCCCGTCCGGAGTCTCCAGGACTTTGGACAGAGCCCCTTGATGCGACGGAATTTGGCCCAGCTTGCTATCAGAATTTCGGTCTCAATGGTTCGCCCACAATTTTTGAAGCAGGCATATTGTACTACTAATCCACAATCTAGAACTCGGTCCTCGTCCCGAACTTTTGCAGACTCTGTTCAACACCCCAAAAGCACCCGAGAGCGAGGATTGTCTGCGCATCAACGTCTTCGCGCCGGACTCTGTGTCGAACGCCACCCGGGCAGTGTTGGTCTTCATCCATGGCGGGGGATACCAGATGGGCCACGCAAGGATTGATCTCTCCCCTTTCGCAGCGTATGAGGACATAATCGTGGCGAGCCTCCAGTACAGAACAAACGGTCCGGGTTCTCTCCTCCCTGCCATTACATACGCTGATATGGCCTCAAGTCTTTGGCTTTCCATCCTCGCCCGACATCCCCATTACGGAACGTAACTTGGGGCTCTATGATCAGCGTTTCGCTTTTGACTGGATTCAGCAGAACATCGAGGCCTTTGGAGGTGATCCCAGCAAGGTCACTATCTGGGGCCAGTCTGCCGGGGCTCTCTCAGTCGACCAGCATCTCAAGGCGTATGCCACCGAACTGCCTCCGCCGTTCCGCGCCGCGATCATGTCGAGTGGTCAAACGAGCTTCGGTCTGCTCGCATCACCTTCTCCGAGTGATGGGAAAGAGTGGTCGGCACTTGCTTCCGCCGTTGGCTGTGCGAACTCGACTGGCGGCATGGATTGCATGAAGAAGATTCCGCCTGAGGATCTTATCGAGGCCATGTTGAAGCACAGCATTTCATTTGGGCCTGAATTAGATTATGTCACCGTCTGGGGCAGTCCTGCTGAGCTGTGGAGGAGCGGCCAGGCTACCAGAGTCCCAATACTGACCGGAACAGTGGCTGAAGAGGGAAGGAGCCTTGTGAATGATAAGGTTGACCTCGCAAGCTGGCTTGAAGCATATCTCCCGAATGGTTTGATCAAGGAAGATGATAGAGAGGCGATAGTGTCATCCTATCACTCCGCTGGCATGACGACCGACTTTGATATTGCTTCTGCTATGACTACAGACTTCCTTTGGTTATGTGTACGTTGCCTGGTCTCTCGGGTGATAAAAAACTGACACTGCGATAGCCTCAGTCAATCCTATCAACGACGGCAGCCTCCCACAATATCCCATCATGGCGCTATTACTTCAATACCTCCATTCTAAACTTCTTCCCTCAGGAGTACGCCTGGCTTGGCAAGTTTCATGGCTCAGAAGCCATCCTTCTCTTCACCGACCCTAGTAACACGACCTACACACCCCAATCCTACGCGGTGTATGAGTACCTTAGGGGCGCGATCGGGCGATTTGTCAAGAACCCTAATGCGGGCCCAGGATGGCCAGCCGTTGGTTCGCAATATGCACCTCTAGACCTTGTCGTTTTAGGGGATATCGGCAACTTTCAAACTGCTGTGACGCCGTTCAATACCACAATTTTGGATCAGAGGTGTGGGTTGTACAAGGACGTCTACCAGAAGTTGGAAGCCATGTCTGGCTAAAGGTGATGTCCTCCCGATTGATAGGAGTGAGCTGATGTAGACGTGCTCCGAGACAACACAGTCATTGACTGGCAACGTCAACTATTATCACGGGAGTATGGGAGTGTTGAAATTCTTTTTATATCCTGCAGTATTCTCAAAGGGCTATTCAAATCGCTATTCAAGTCGAACCGATGATCATTCTCGTACAATTTTGCCGCATTACTCATACAAAAAGTCCACACACGCCAATTACTACACTTACTCATCCCATTGCACACGCATCGTCGTGGGGATAGGCCACAACGAGCTTTGGTCAACAGTCATGAACGCCCTCAGTCCGAGCCAAGGCTGCTGATGCGCCGCGCTTCCATTCTGGCCCTCCACAGGCAGACCGACTTGTCCGTTCCACGGGGAAGCAGGGAAGTTCTTCATCTCGCCCCGTCCGCCAGGCGCGCGGCGCAGGTTCTTGAGGCCGACGATCTGCTTGAACAGACTCGTCTGTCCGACGCGAGACATCTCCTTGCCCGCGCACCAATGCGGGCCCAGGCCGAAGTGTACGTAGGAGTCCAGGGGGCGGTCGAGGCGAACCTCGTTGGGGTCCTCGAAGATGGCAGGATCGCGGCCGGCGGTGGCGAAGTTGCAGACCACACGGTAGCCCTTGGGAATCTTGACCTCGCGCTTGGTGCCCTCGATGTCGGGGTTGGTGATGGGGTCGCGACCGGTCGGGTCGGAATCAGAGGGCAGACAGGGGGAGTAGTCAGTGATGACCTGTGTGGATGTGGCTTCTCTGTAAACTGCGACGGGTCCACGCAGACGGCAGCCCTCAAGCATGCTATGTACTGTTAGTGGTGTTCATGAAAAGAGTGATTGCGAATGAAACTTACTACTTCATCAAGGTCTCATCCGCCTCGGGTGTGTTCTCGTGCGCCAGGCGGTACAACTCGGGCAGATGCTTCTTGCCCTCCTTGTCGAGGTAGTAGTCGACGCAGAGCGAGGTGACCTGAGACTGGTTCGCGACGTTGGCCGTGATAACAGGCATGATGGTTCCCCAGACGACCTCCTCGACGTCCTTGCCATCGGAGAGCATGCGCTCAATAAGATGGTTGCCGTACGTGGGAAGAGACGCCTCGCCCTCGCGAATCTTGGCGACGATGTCTGTAATCAGCCCCGCCTTCTTGATCGTCTGAGCGATAAGCATCACTACCTTGCCGAGATCCTGAGCAAGCTCACGGGCGATCGTGCGAAGCTTGAAGCTGTTGCCAATGTCGGCATCCATGAACACCGCTTGGAAGAGGGCGCCAAGGACCGAGTACAGCTCCTGGTCGGTGTACACGCCCCACGGCGACTCCTCGTTCTTGATGGGCATGCAAAACAGCGCAGCATTGAAACGCGTATTTGTGACGTTGATGACGTCCCGGACCAGGTCGATCTCCCTCTTGTTTCCGGGAATGGGGAAGCTGTTGAGGTTGAGGATCTTTGGCGTCATGTGAGTGTACCACTTCCAAATCTCCGTCTCCCACGGGCCGGAGATCAGAGACTTGCGGACGAGCGTGCGGTTCTTGGCGTGCTCCTTTCCATCCCCAGAGAGACAGAAGTCCTTGCCATAGTGGGGCTTGTTGGGCTGGGCGACCAAGTGGTTGATGGCATCGCCAGTGATGACCTTGAAGTCCTGCTGGTTGTAAAGAACCTCACTGACGGCCTTGTGCGATAGGATGGGGATCAGCGGGGTCTTGGTCTTGGGCTCGTCCCAGGTGTAGAGGTAGGCCTTGTCGATGCTCTCGAGGATCTTCTTGTTTTCTGAGGGAATGACGAAGGGGAAGTGGGCGTAGATGCTGTTGTTCTGGAAAGAGTTGGGGAAAGCGCGGAATACCAGCTTGTAGAGAACGTGGCTCTGGTCAACATTCAGGTCGTAGCTGGCTTGGTTAAATCTGTAATGGTTAGCATCTTCGACTTTCCTGTAGATGTTGAAACTTACCCCCAGTTGGTCAGGTTCTTTGGCGTGTAGTCGATTGTGTAGAAGCGATCGCCGCGAACCAGTGCGACCGCGTCAGATAAGATGGCCCTGGTCATGGTGAAGTTACCGCAGAGGCCACTGCCCGGGGCCATGGGCGGCTTCGCCTTCTCGGCCATCAGGCCGGGGTAAAGCTCAACTGCGTCAGGGCTGCCGTACAGGAATCTGAGCTTCGCAGCAACCTCCTTGTCAGGGTTGATGTCCTCGAATGTCGGATGTCTAGTAAGGCCGAAGTGCTCACGGAACTCGTTGAGCGTGGCGCAATTCCAGGAACGAGATGCCATGATTCCCATCAGCTCGATGGGCCTCATCACCTCGGGGATTCTGTTGGCGCCGTAGGAGCCGGCAACATCGTCGACGGACTCCTTGAAGATCTTGGCTAGGTCCGCCTCGTTCAGCGTGCCGTCGGCGTTGCGAGGCAAGTCCATGAAGCCTCTTTGCGCGGGGTCGTCAGGGATCTCCTGCTCCCAGTCTCTCATCGCATGGCCGAATTCCATCAGCGACATTTCGGTGGGGTCCTTTCCGAGAACCTTCTTCATGACATCCTTTGTCCACTGCTCATCCTTGGGGGAGATTGTGTTGTGCCACCTGTAGATGAGGTTGAACTCAACGGACACTTGGTTTCCAGTACCCTCAGGGGTCTGTTGGCTGAGAATGCTCTTGCCTTCGTTGGTACGGGGATCCAAGGCCCAGCTTGACGCAGTGCGGTTCATCCCCAGAATAGTGCGAACATAGTCGCGGAGAATGATGCTGACATAGAGACCGCAAGTGATGAGGCGAGCAGTCTGGAACAAGTCGTTGTCATACTTTGCCGCCTTCTCCGGGTCGTCGCCAGTGGGCTTCTGGAATCGGCCACCCTCGTTGATTCTGCCGACAGTTAGCATTGAACGCGAGCACGCAGCGCTGCGGGAACTCACGTTGCCAGGTTGGTAGCGATGTAGTTGTGGTAGCGGTTAAACATGATCAAAAGAGTACCAACGCCAGGAGGGAATCCCAAAACTCTCTTGGAAGAAAATGTGTCTGGCTTGAGCAGACCGTTCTTCTTCGTCCTCATGAGGTCCTGCTCGGCTTGGTTGCGACCGTACAGAGGAGCGAGGTCCAGGTACGAGGAAGTCTGGTTAATAGGTGAAGTTCCATTCTTCTGTAGCCGTTTTGTTAGCACTGCGCTGGTATCCTCGACGGGTAGAAATCTCACAGTCTGGAAGATGTCGTGGGTGATGATGGTAGCCAGGTAGAACATGAAGCTGGAAATCTTGTTGGGGTGGGGCTTGAATTCACCACCGCGGGCAAAGAGCATGTCAAAGATCATCTCAGGCTCGGGCTGGTTGGGGTTCTGGTAGCTCTTGGCTGGTGTTGAGCGGGCGTACGGCTGTCCCGCCGCACCCATCTTGGGATCGTGAATAGCGTTGCCGGAGCCGTCGGCGGCGCGGTACTTGTGGTCCTCTCCAAGCGTCGTCATGGGAGGGTGGTCGATGCCGTTCCATAGCTGGTTGATCAAGCCGTTCTCTAGCCTCTTGCCCTTGACTGAGTTCTGGGGCAGCTTGGCAAAGAGCTGGATGAGGTGTTCGAGCAACAGCTCATTGTCGTTGATCTGGCCCTCGACGGCCGAAGAAAAGAAGTTTACGAGGGTATCAAAGTCTTCGAAGCCCAGCTTCTTGACATCTTGAATCAGGTTGCTGGGCTCGCCCTGGTCGGAATTTGGGCTGGGAAGAGGCTCCGGATGAGGAGGTACTGCTGAGATGGCCTTGGTGACGAGCTGGCGGGCCGATGCCAACCTCTCAGCCAAGGGCGGCTGGTTCTTGGGGAACTGCTCAGTATGTGATTGTTGAGACATATTGGTAGTAGATTAGTTCACAGAGGAACAGGTAAGGAGCGATGTCTAGGAACAAGAAGGAGCAGAATTTCTGATCTACTGATGGGATGGCTGCTTCCCCCATATATATAGGCAGGCAGAGAGATAACCTCTGGACTACAAGTACGGTTGCGGGACAAACCCACCCCAGATTAGGGCGAACATGGGGATACGGCTACCCTCCTCCCCATAGCCACGAGGACGAGAACGAGGCGCCGGTGAATGTGCCTCAAGGAACAAGTGCTACCGAACTGACTGACGTTGAGGATCAGGCTCTGCACGAGGTAGACGGTAGCTTCAGGTTGGCGCTGAGGTCAGATGTTGAAGGTCCACAAGGGTGTCATGGGTATTACTAGCTCCATGATTGGGACTACGCCGTACCTAGACGATGATCCATTTGCGAACTAGAGTCCTGCCAGGGAGCCCGGCCTCTAGGCTTCCCGCCATTAGTCTTGTCAAGCTGCGCAAGTGCGTGGTTTCCGAGGCATGTCAATCGCTCGTCGGTCTTGACCGGAAGAAGCAGCCCCAAAAGGCCCCAAGGTTGGTGAAGAAAGATGCAGTTGGTAAAACGCAGGCAGCCATTGGACGGGGTGCGACGCGAGGGACCAACGGGCCCCCTGTCTATCGTGCGTGGCCGAGCCAATAATGGACGATATCGCAGCGCATCTCCTGCATCGTGGGGGCTGCTAAGGCGCAGCTGAACGTACCCTGCGTGCCTGTGCCGTCTGCCTATTTGCGCCGCTGGGGCCGAAGGAGAAGAGCAATGAGGTCGCAATAGAAGCAGCCGATGTTGATTTGTTTGAAATGTCCCTCATTGCCAAATTTGGAGGGGCAGATAGAACGAAAGCGGGCAACGCACCGCGCAAGACACACCTGTTGGGTTAGGATGATTAGGATGCTGGGCTGGGGAGCCCGCGGCTGAAGACAACGAGTTCCTGATGTCGCTGACGAGATGCAACGAGGGCCAATCGTTGGCGCCTTCTCGTACCTCGCCGGGTTGCCTTAAACCTCACCCTCAGTGCGCAAGTCCCCATCTGCGTTCCATCCATCCCTGTTGGCCGAACTATCTGCACCACCGGAGCCATTCGATGACTCTGTCTCAGATGGGGTCTTTCGGTGAGTATCTCTCGCGTGTCCGAGGAACTGTGGGGAGATGAGGACGCATTTGCGCAATATGAGTCGATCTTTCTTTCCCCCCGGCACTGAACACATGTGATTGCCGTGTCCGACAGAGGCAGCAAGGCTTGTGACTTCATTCTTGACCGTCGTCGTAACGGATATGGAGATAATCGGTAGCAACTGAAGTCCGCGAGAGGCTGCTTCTAGGCATACGCCATTCCCGGCAAGGCGTTGTAGGGCATCGTATTCTTCATGATGGCCCCCCGGCGCATGCAAGCCTATGGGGTCTGGTACCGCCCAATTGCGGCATGGTTCGGGTTGGCGGACATCGGGCCGTTGTCGATTTGTGTAGATGGCGTCCGTACCTGGGGCTGGGGGCCTTACCGGCTGCAGTGCAATGGAGACGGGCCCCAGGTACATGACAGCCTGGTGGGATATTGTTGTTGTTGTTGTTGTTGCTGCTGTCGTTGGTGGTAGCGGTGGTCGTGACCAAAGTCCGATGTTTCTCTCACTTGTCAGTATTGCAGGCTGAGTCTGAGTCGGCAGCTCAGCACCGTACTAGGTAGTGAGGTTTCACTGAGGCCCCCTCTGATGTGATGCGAATTGTGACTCTGCACCAACATGCATATTACAATCACAGAAGAGCGGTTCGAAGTTGAAGCCGGCCATGTCCGTCGTCATATCAGTCAGCTTCTTGGCCCGTCAGCACTCTGTAAATGCGTCACACACACCTCGCGGGAGAGGCTGTGTGTAGTGGCTGCAGAAGAGAGGAGCGCACTCTTTCAGTGGTCTCCTCCTCGTGGGGGCTCCGCACAGTGATGATCGGTTCGGGCCCTTCTCGCCGGGCCCATCTGACCGGTCGCCTCCCCGTGCCGCTGGGCTGTGCAGCGGGCGTGGCGCCGGGGGGGCTTTTCTGCAGTGTCATTGCTGACCGTCACTGGCCGCTGTCCGGTTTCGATCGAACGAGCCGAGGCCTCTCTGACGTGCGAGTAAGGCCCTGCAGGCTGCAGCGGCCTCCATCCACCGGATAGGGCCGTTGCCTGCCGTGTCCCCGGCCCTTCGTCTCGCCCCATCTTGCCTCGTCGTCCGCGTCGCCAGCTGAGGTCGTCTCAATTGTAATTCGCATCTGCGCAATTTGCCAATGAGATGAGGTGGCATGCCTTGGGAAGAATACCAAAACTTTTGTTGTTAGTGGGCGGAGCACAGTTCCGTGGCCTTGGATTGCGGGGTCGAAGACAAAGTGGTTCACCGCGCTCAGGGTCTTGGGATGGCTTCAACCGGGATGAGGGGGCCTTGAGAGCGCCGGGGAAAGAAAGAGCAAGTCCTTGCTGATCTCGTAGTTGAAGCCGAGTTCAGCCTCGATTCAGCCTCGGCCACCCCTTCGAGTTGTCAAGCAGAGCGCCAGCCAGTCAGCCAGCCTCTACGATGCGATCAGATGTCGTGTACCGTCCCCCGAGACACAGCTGACAGCTCCGTGAAGAAACACAATAACTCGGTGTACCCGGCTTGCATGACGATGACTAGTAGTTTTGGCGAGGTAAATCGCTGACTAGCTTGGCCGGTCTCATGCATCTCGATTTGCACCGGTGAAGCATGTCAATGTTACGGCCGCTAGCGAGGGTTCTGGAGTGTAGGGCTGAGAGATGTTGGTTCTCCATCTCCATAGTCCCTAGAGCTTCAGGGAAGCAGTGGTGTGAAAGTGTGTTCATTGAGTGTTGTGACTGGTGCGTCCTCCACCCCCGCGGTCAGCTTACTGCGCAAGCGCTGGAGTAACAACGAGGGTTTGTGCGCAGAATCTGTGATCATTGGTCAATTCCATCGCTTGGCCTCGTCTTAGGTGAGAGCGGTGGCACGGCCTGTGGTCTGGAGTTGCGTTTGTTCCTGGAACCACTGAAATATCGAATGAGACGTGTCGCATAGCGGCGGATGGACAAGAGGAGGACCCCCTTTCCACCAAACCCGTGTCAATCCACCTGATTGTAGGGAAGAGAAAAGATGCCGTGAACGCCACAAACAGTTGGAGCATGCGGGAGGCTGATGTGGCTAACCTGAGTTGACACATGTTGTGCCTGACCGGTATATCGCAAAAGGCCTAGTGTTTTTACCTGGTTTCAACAGTAGAATACTAGGTGAGAAATGAGGCTTTCGGTGGATATCGCGCGACAACATGGCAACTTCTGCACCTCTGAGCGACTTCTAGCTTAGAAAGAAGGATGAGTACGGATAGAACTAGAGTTGGGATGACGCATGGATCCCGGATGCTGAAAATAAACACAGTTGATGCGTCTGGACACTCTCAGGTCGCGGCGGTCGTGCGCCCCAAACGTGAAAATGACGTCGGCAGGCTGATGTGTTTGCCGTTGTAGGCGTCCTCGAACAAGACACGTCTGGTCTGCGTCCCACGGGAGTGCTTCGCCATTGCAGGTGTTTCCGGACTCCTCCAGCAGGTAGAGCCGGGCAATGCAGTTTGTTGCAACTTGCAAGAGTGGGCTAAGACTGTTTGTTTTTGTTTGCTCTTTTGAGATTTGAAGTAAGGGAGGAATGCGCCCGCAGTGTTTATGGTCTCTCGAATGTGTCTTGCGCCAAGCTCTTGCTGTCGGCTTTAAGGCATAGGAGAGGGTTTAAGGGGGCGGATGCCGAGCCGGAATTTGAGACGAGACGCGTGGTCAGTGTCGAACAAAGTTTGGGTACATAATTAATAATGAAGAGTCTGCAAATTCAATTGTCCACCGTGGAGCAGTCCGACGTTGACTTGGAGCGCTGTGAGCTGAGACTGCGGTACATTCAATGTAGCATATGGCAATTGAGTACGCGATCACAACCTGGGTTGTCTATATCCGTAGAACCACAGATAAGTGTCTGCCCCAGGCTTAGTAAGTCTACGTCTTGTGCATTAGTTTTCTTAGGGACTTCAGGCACACAACGGACAAGATGTCTGGAGGGCGCTAAGGAGAGATTGACATTCCTCAAACCGTGCTAGTGAGATTCGTTCGGCGACTGGCGAGATTGGATTCAGAAGGACGGTGAAGATGGCGACGAGTACGTCAATGATGAACGTCAGAACCCGCTGCCACGGCAGATTGAGTTTGGCAGTGCGTCGCAGAGAAATGATGAAATATCAGACTGGGGCCTGCTCCGTGGACAGACTGTGGTATCCGTCCATAGCTGTGAGTGGCAGTGTGGGAAAATACAGGCGGAATACAGTTTGCAAAGTCGCCGTGACAGGCGCCTCCCTAGCTCGCCCCGAGCTTCAGGGTCGCAGTGCTAAGACGCCTGGCTCCCGTTATTTTCCTTTTTAGCTCAACCTGGAACCCCAAACCGAATTGAAGACCCCAAGGACCCTCAGTCTTGGGTCGCTAGGTCGCAGCATTCATCCGGATAGGTGCCTACCTCAGGTATTAGGTTCAGTGTTAGCAGGGAAGGATAGTCCCACGTCGCACCTGACTGGGTACCTCTTGCCTTGCTATGGACTGGCTGTGTCTGGGGAAGGAAGAAGGGGGGATTTAAGGAAAAACGGGAAGGGAGGGAGGAGGAAGTTGCCGTCGCTCTTACCTTAGGTTTTGGTCTGAGGCGGGAAAGGAAGGAAGAACCCAAGGGCAGCACCTTCTGCCTTTAGGTTGGATTGCAGGGCAGCAAGGGGGGGCGGCAGGAAGGAAGGAAGAAAGTAAGGAAGGAGGATGCCAATTTGCATTGAATGATTGTTCTTGCCCCATGATGCAGTTTGCTGCACTTGCACTTGCACCTACACTTGCACCTGCACTGGCACTTGCCCTCCTCTGCTGCTCTTTTCGTCTTCGCACTTGCCGTCGCGCCTCTCTCGTCTTGTTCGTGTTGCGTCTCATCTGATTCAGCAACTGCAGACA